TCTAAGAATATTATACCTTAAATAACATTTTTGTAATGTAAAGAACATATAATTTAGATTTAAAGAACAAATTAATTAGACTTAAAAGCATATTTCATTACAATTAACAAAATAAATATAGATTGTAAAAGTGATAAAAGAACATTCATCATAATTAGAAGACATTCATCATAATTAGAAGAACATCATCTTCAACCTCATAGAATAATACAAAAACAATAATAAAAAAAAATTCTTTGATTACAAAATCTATAAATTATGAAATTTAATATAAAAAATTTATGTCATTTGATAACGAAACCCACAATTTATGAAATTTAATAATTTAAAGAGCATTATCATTATCATCAACATCATAACTATAATTATGAAATTTAAATACAAAAAAAAAACTAAAAAGTACCTTCTCAATTGATTATGAAATCCTCAAATTCACCATCATTATTATCAAATCGTCATTCTCATATGTATTATCAACAGATCTACAATTTTGGAATCATGTTGAAATTTAAAATACACTACCATTAATTCTCTCTGCTGAAAAATTTCTCTCTCTGTATTTCGAAATTGTGATTATATCTCTCCAAAAATATCAAATATAATTTTGAAAACTTTTAATATGGAAAATAACTAACAAATCCCTTAAATTAAGGAGAGAATTATTTTGATAATTTTTTTTATTAAAAGTAAAAAAATACTGTTATTTTCAGCAAAGTGTACCATGAGCATGGTACACCCTAGTGTACTATGTAAATTTCAAAAAAATATGGGTATTTTTGAATTATTTGAGTTAAATTGTTCGAATGATCTTTATGAAATGTTACTTAGGTAATTATGTAGGCATTGTGAAGTGAATTGTTAGTGTTTTCAATGATTTCAGGGTTTGAGCCACTAGTACAATGTTTAATGTATCTGATCATGCCTATCATTGTTTAATTTGCGTGCATACGAACCATTTAAGAATTATGTCAAAATCACGCATTAGTTAGTGTTACTAATGTTAAGCTTATGTTTGCTTATACGGATATACTAACCTGGTATAAGAAATTATGACAAAATCACAGGTTAATTAGTGTTATTAATGTTAAGTTAATGCTTATTTATACTTGTATACCATAGGTTTTATTGATAATTTAGAGTGTCGGAGTGGAGCGCTCGCTCTACGGAATCGCGCTCGCGCCAGCTAGGCGCGACTCGCGATAAAACTGCGCATAAACCGCGATGAGTTTCTGGAAAATCTGAAAAGTAAGGAGGCGCGCCCGCGCCATGGTATGACGCGACCCGCGCCTAAACCGCGTCAAAATCGCATCAACTCTCTGGAAAATTGAAATTTTTAGGCAAAGAAGGAGGCGCGCCCCACGGGCAGGTGGCGCGCCTGTGCTGCTGTGGTGGCGCGCCCGTGCTTCTTGCCGTTTTGCGGTATTATGCGACGGTTGGATTCTATTTTAAATAGAATGTTGTTTTCGAAAGAAAATAGACAGAACTTTATTCTCTTATTTTCTCCCCAAGAATTCTCTAAATTTCTCTTAACTTTCTTGCAAACTATTTTGAGAAAATCTCTTGACTTTAGCCTTCTTTGTGATTCATCCATCGGTGTTTCGATTCTTTGTGCTAAGAACGGAATTTCTGTCAATTGCATCTCAAAGGGAATTTCCGGAATAACCCTAGCACCGTGTGGGGGAAATTAATCCCTTTAGGAAAGTATTCACACGCTTTTGACAGTGTATCAAGATTATAGTCTCAAGGGACGTTGCAATTCTCATGTTCATGTTCGGTTGATCGGCTTGGAATTAAGGCAAGTGTAATTAAACTTCACATTAGTGTCGTCATTAGAAATTTCTGTAATTTCTTAGTGATATTAATACTTGATTGTAACACCTTGGTTGTGTTTGATTGTATTACTTTACTTTGTTATAGTAATCACATAATTTAGGTTTTGTTCCCACACACTTTATTAAGTGTTTTCTTGATTGAATACGCTGTAAAACCTAACAGGTTTTTATGGTTAAGCACTTAAGCCTTACGGCTGTGAATATCAGTATGTTGTAAGTTATACTCTGTACTTGACAGAAGCATGAATGGTTGGGAACTAGAAATTATGAAGTACGGAGTATAAATTTATTTTTAAGATATGCCAAAGGGTATATAAATAGAGTAGGATTGTGAGTACACTTTTTCTACAAATTGATTTTGTAAATTACTAAATCATTTGCCTAATTGGAATGTGGTTATTGTAATTGACAATGTGGTTTAAGTTACAATTTCACTTTTTTTTTTTTTTTTTGAAGAATTAAAATTTCAAATATCAATTCTCTTGATTAGTTATAAAAATATGGTTATGAATTTGTGGGACTGTAGGCTCTTCCATACATACGTTGCATAGGGGAATCATGGCCCATGACTAAAGACCGAGCATATTATGAGGCTAAGGCGTTAAAGGAACATGGTCGATTGTGCCCTGCTCATGTCCCGGAGGTTTATCATTTTGATCGTAACATGGCTTTGATTGGCATGCGCTATTTGGAACCTCCACACATCATTCAAAGGAAGGGTTTGATTGCTGGAGTTGAATATCCGTTGCTTGCAGAACACATGGCGGAATACATGTCAAAGACATTGTTTTATACCTCTCTTCTTTATACTACCACAATGGAGCATAAACGTGAAGGTAGCATATTCATGTAATTACTGTTCAACAATATGAAGTTGCAAGTCCAACTCTAGTGTAAAGGGTCATTTTCTAAATGAAAGAAATGGTTTATAAATACTTAAACCACAACTGTTATGTATCAATCTAATGTTATAAGTCGATTCCTTGTTGCTATTACTCCGTATTTCAACATCTTACTATATACTGTATTTAATTAAAATTGAAGATTTCTTTTGTTGTGGTCTTAAGTTTATGAGTTGCTTACTATTACATGTCATTGTGTTGGTTGAATATTGCCTACCTCACCCACCATTGTGTATTAATTTGGTGATTTTATTCTATCGATTGGCTTATGGATCAGTTGCTGAATTCTGTGGAAATGTGGAAATGTGCCGGCATACTGAGCAGGTTGTATTCTCTGATCCCTATAAAGTATCAGAGTATAACCATTGGACATCTCCTCACCTTGATCATGATGCTGAGGCAGTCCGTGAAGACAACGTTCTGAAGCTTGAAGTAGCTCAGTTGAAATCCATGTACTCATGCAGTCTAAATTGACAACTCTGTATTTCGTTACAAAAGAAAGTTCTTTATTGGTAAAATTACTTTTAGAAGTGTGAGTTGATAAAGTTTCCTTGTGTCATGTTACAGGTTCTGTGAAAGGGCACAAGCCCTTATTCATGGAGATTTACACACTGGTTCTGTCATGGTTACACAGGATTCGACACAGGTGATTGATCCGGAATTTTCCTTCTATGAGCCAATGGGATTTGAGTATTTGACATAGGAGCCTTTCTGGGAAATCTTATTTTGGCCTTCTTTGCTCAAGATGGACATTCAAATCAAGAAAATGACCGAAAGGTTAGCTCAATTATGTAGGAATAATACTACTACTATTGTGTGCAGCATGTTTCTTTTGCAGATTTTTTTTCCCTCAAAGTTATCTTCATTGCTTTACCTAGCTTGCTGTCTTCTTTTTGTACATTACATTGTGAATCTCCAATCTTTATTGTTGATTTACTCAAGAGGGAAGAAAAGTTTATCGTATCTTTTGGTTAACGAGTCATAAGTTTGCAATGTTTAGATCCTGATCCTCCTCTCTCATGTGCTTCAGTCTTACAAGAAATGGATCCTCAAAACTCTCGGGGAGACTTGGAATCTATTCCACAATAAATTTATCGCATTATGGGATGAAAATAAGGATGGTCCAGGTGAGGCATATCTTCCACTTATTTATAATAATCCTGATGTTTGGAGACTCATACAGGCAAACTTTATGCAAGAGCTGTTCCATGATTCTCTTGGATTCGGATCTGCCAAGATGATTAGGTGAGTTCAACTTATCGGTATCTTTTGTACCATCTTGCTAGTTGCTACGTGTATATAAGTCTTTGATTCTGCTTTCCCATAGTCTGGTTGTGCTCCTATATAACAAAACCTTAATAACAGAGCTTACCTTTATATTGATCTCTTCTAAGATCTACAACATCAGATGTGTAATTTTGAGATGAACATGAAATGATCATTTTTTATTTTGTCATTTAACAGGAGAATTGTTGGGGTGGCTCATGTGGAGGACTTCGAGTCGATAACTGACATTGCCAAACGAGCTGATTGTGAGAGGAAGGCACTCAACTTTGCTAAAATGCTCCTGAAAGAAAGGAGAAATTTTGTGTCCATAGATGAAGTGATCTCTACCATTAAACATGTTGCTTCATAAGGTTTACTGATGCAGATGTTGCACAATTCAGCTAGTTGGGATAATGATATGTATAAGTGTACCTAGTAGAGGAAATAACATTTATGAATTGAATAATGCTCTTATCAGTGCAAACCTTATCAATACAATAATTATTGAGATTTTGGAGTACAAGCCTGTTTTTATTGTGATATCTGTACGTAGTCGTAGTATATTTTTATGCGTTGTGTAAATTGTTTTGGAAAGTGAGATAGATTGTAGTTCCATATTTGTAGAAAGGACTACTCAATCCAACAGACCAAAATTAGTGAAGTACTTAATGCTAAATTAGGCAACTCATGCATTCACTATTAATTGCAGGAACTCATTCGATTTTGCTGAAGTATTTGAGATGAAGTACCTAGTAACTTTTTAGGTATATATACGAATATGATCAATAGCTTGATAATTTCGAATAATGGTGTCTACAATAGCAGAAAATAAACTATATACTGGCATACTGCTATCAAAATTTTGGGTAAATATATACGTTTATTTAATTATGATTAATTAATCTGGCAGATATTAAACAACAAAGTGGCTGTAGTTTAGTGGTAAGAATTCTACGTTGTGGCCGTGGATACCTGGGCTCGAATCTCAGCAGCCACATATCCGACCTTAGCTCAGTTGGTAGAGCGGAGGACTGTAGTGGGTTATCCTCAGCGCCATCCTTAGGTCGCTGGTTCGATTCCGGCAGGTCGGATTTTTTATTGTTTTTAATGGATGGAAGTATTATTTGATAACGACACTTTATTACGGGGTACAATTTTTGCTTAATATTATGCTTTTTCCATACATACATACATAGATAGCTTATATATGTAATGTTTCACATCATAACTTAGTTGTTGAACCTGGCCTTGTAATCATTCCACAATTGATTAACAGATTTGCCCAACAAATCAGTGAAATAAGCATCACTATATCCACCCCTCATTTTCTTATTAAGCTCAGCTACAAACCCATTTCTTAAACTGTTACAATAGTCTAAGAACCTGGCTGTAACATCATAACCCTGATCCCATCTATCACCTTGACCGGGTTTAACCCAATGAGACGGTGCATAACCGGCCTTAAGCCTAACATAATCCGCGACCCCCTCAATTAACCCTCCCGGTGCCTGCCCATTGCCGGTCCATTGCCACACATGGGTCACTTCGTGGTACAAAACACCTGTTACTTCGGTTTTGACGTTGCCTGAGTAACTTTGCACGTAGTTTGCACTCAGGTGGATTTGGTCGTTGATTGTGTAAGCTACTCCTTGCATACTTTCCACTATAAGACTCACCTGTGACGTATTATAATTTATAATTTTGATAAATAATTTCGTGAAGCAATGAACAAGATATATAATTAATAGAGTACAATAATTGCTTAGTTTGTTGTTATCTTTGACAAGTTTCCTTATTACGTTTTAGACCTATTGAATCTGTCACACTATAAGTTTTAGAAGATACTTATATATTTATGCATGATTATTGATTAGTCAAAAAATATACTTCGTATATACTTTTTAATCGAGAAGTTTTCTTTGCATACCTATCTTAATTAGCTTACTATGACACTCCATGTTGTGATTATATTGATGCAAAATGATTAATGAATAATTATAAAAAAAAACATACAGATTTAAGCGGTTCACTAATAATATATATGTTAGTTAACTACGTCGTCCGTTCATGGAAATTAAATGTTACAGGATTTTTTCAGATATTGAAAAAGATAAAAGTTTATTTATAATTTACAAAGCAGATTAGGTTAATTTAAAATTTAGGAGTTTCTATAGTACTCTAATGGCCTAAAGAGTGAGACTCCTGTGTTGAATCGTTTGTACGAAGATAACATATTCAAAGCGAATTCTAACACTTCAATCACTAAGTACAAACTTGATCTTTCACTTGCTTTTTCATGGCCTGGATGAATTTACAGCTAGTATGTTTACTTTTAAACAAATTTAACCACTAACTTTTCTTTTTTGGAAAAAAATGCCTTAAATGTGATAAATGCTGTTAAAAAAATAACCTGTTGGACGTTACTCTTACGGTCAGCCGGGTTGGTTTGCTGGAAGGTTCTCCAAATGAAGTCCGTGGCAGACGAGAGCGTTTGGCGGGCGTAGGCAGTCCCGACTTCATTGTTAAATCGGGTACCGCCTGGAGTGTTGGCGGCGGAGTTGGTGACTGAGTAAGTCACCGCGGCGACTTGGGTGGTGAGAAGAAGGAAGGAACATAAGATAATAACCAAGGAAGACATATTTTGTGACTTTATGAGTAGGGTTGTTATGTAACTTGTATGTTTCGTTGGATATGAAAACATTTATATATAGACAATATATAGTACTCTTAGAATAGTAATACCACAAGTTGAGGGTGTTATAATGAGCACTCTTAACAAGTTGGCAAGTTGAGACGGAAGTAAATGTATGTTGTTACCTAAAGTAGTTGAAGCTGATGAATGCAATGCAATAAGCGCTAACAATCAATTAATATTAAACAATATGGAGTAATATATATTTTTTTATATGTGAAGTGGTCATACCATGTGACTAGCAGACTAGCCACATATAAAATTTATGTTATGTAAAAATATAATCGTTTTTTTTTAGAAAATTAAATCTCGGTGCAACATTTTTACAAAATTATATTGACAAGAATATATAAATTTATAAATTTCTGATTTATATTTTAATTTCTTCTAGAAATCACTATACTACAAAAATTGAATAGCTAATAAAATAGACAAGGTAATTCAATTACATAGTTTACCTAAAAAAAAACGGAGAAGGACTACTCTTCTTATTCAAATTTAAAAAGAATTTATTTAAAAGAATTTAATGTCTAACATGATTCGGGTAAAAATACCCTTTGACACGTGGGCAAATCAGCCTGTGACACATGTCACCCCATGGGTGGCCCACAAGGGCCACTCCCTATTGGACACGTGGCAAATACTTCAAAGACCCTATAAATAGGGAGATATCCACATTTATTACATTCATTCACAAACATATACAAAAACACACATCTTGAGCAATATTAATTTCAGATATTTACTCCTGATCTTAAAAATCGAGAGGATCATTTACGTTCCGCATTTATTACAGACTCCATACCCGTTCTAACTTGGCCGTTGGAGGTGGAACTCCACCCAACCGTAGTTTCCGTGGTTTTGCAGGTATAGACGCCGGAATTAATCCAGTCTTGGTGTTGTAACTCTAGCTCCTAAGGGACACAAAACCCCCAAAACATTTGGCGCCGTCTGTGGGGATGCAAGGTCTCCATCCCGGCTGGGAGGCCTTTGCCCATATGCACTATTTGAGCCGAAGTCTAGGCGGGTGGAGGGCATGGTATACGCTGACCACCTATCCCAAGTACCTGATGACCCTAGACAAGCCGTCTAAGTGGTCAGATTGGAAGAACCGAATCTACCTGGTTTCTGCTCCCTCCAAGCGTGAGAACTTCGAACTTCGCACATACAACCGGAAGCCGGATCTGTCACTACTAGAAAACAGTCAATCAACGACGGAAAAAATCCGTTGGAAAACCCTGAAATTCCGTCGGAATGCCCATTTACGACGGAATTTCCGACGGATTATGTTCTGTCGGCGCTTTTGTTGACTTGAAGTGAAAATCCGTCGCAAGGTTCCGACGGAAATTTCCGTCGGAGTAGGATATGTTCCGAGGAAATTTCCGTCGGTGGGGGAGATGTTCCGACGGAAATTTCCGTCGGTGAGGGAGATGTTCCGACGGAAAATTCCGTCGGAGGAGGTACATTCCGACGGAAAATTCCGTCGGAAAAGTAAATAAAAAAATATAAAAAAAAGCACCACTTTCCCCACCCAGATCCATCCCCGCCACCAGCCCACCCCCTGCCCCCCTACCCACCCATACCCCCTGCCCCCATAATAACCCATGACTGCCCACCCACACCACCAGTCCCCCTAACCCCGTACCACCAGCCCACACCACAAGCACCAGCCCACACCAGCCCAGATTCACCTCGCCACCCACTCCACCTCGCCACCCCCACAACACAGATCTACCAAGCCCTTCCCACCACCACCACAACAAACCAAATCGAAAAAAAACGAAAAAAAATCCAAAAAAAACCGGAAAAAATCCGAAACAATAACCAAAAATTCGAAATAAACAATTTATAAACTTACATTACAATTTCATTACAAAATTACCAAAAAATCAAAAATAATAATTATAAACTTACATTACCAAAAAATCGAAAAACCAGATCTAAAAACGTACATTACAAAATTTATAAACTTATATTACAATTTCATCAAAAATATAATTATAATCATAAATTTTGTGAAAAATAAACCTAGATCTACAAACTAACCAATATTATATTTTCGACCTTCTATGGTGCTTGACGGTGGACGACGGTGAACGGTGCTCCCACGATGCTGACGATGCTTGACAGTGCTCGATCTACCCGTTGCGGTTGTGTTTGTAGATGTTAAAGGAAAAGAGGAGATGAGAGAGAAAGAGACACTACTAGAAAACAGGTCATTTCCGACGGAAAAATTCTGTCGAAAACACCCTGAATTTCGTCGGAACGTGTTGTCGGAAGACCCTTTGTAGGAAAAACGGCCTTATCCGTCAAAAATTCCGTCGGAACAGTGTTTTCCGACGGAATTTTTTCGTCGGAAGAGGTTTTTCCGGTACCGGAAAGTCGATCGGAAATTTCCTACGGGATTCAAATCCGCCGGAAAATTCCCACGGAAATTCCGTCGGAAACTCCTGCAAAAAAAAAAATAAAAAAAAAAAAAAACCAGGCACCACCCCTTCCAGCACCAACCACCATCATCCACCCACCGCCATACCTACCCCTTACCCTTACCCATCCACCACTACCCTTTGCCACCACCACCAAACCCTTACCCATATTCACCAACCACCACCACCGAAACCACCGGCATCAGCCCCTAACCTTGATTCACCAACAACCACCATCGAAACCACCCACAGCAGCCCCTATCCCACCTTCACACACCACCATCGACACCACCTCACCAAAATTTAACCAAAAAAAAATAAAAAATTAACCCCAAAAAAACATAAATGAGCCCAAAAATACGAAAATTAGCACAATAAAATCGAAAAATACCACACAAAAATATCAAAACCAGTAGATCTACAAATTTTAACCGAATTTCATAAAAAAATTAAAAAAAAACGATAATTAAACAACAAAATTTAAAGGAAATATATAAATATACAATTATCTAATCAAATTTATAATTAACATTACAATACCATAAAAATTTAATTAGATCTACAATGTAACCTAAATTAAAACTAGATCTACTTTACAAAAACCTTGAGGGTGGGTGGTGTCGTTGTTATTGGTGTTGATGTTGGTCAACGGTGGTTGTGGTTGTTGACGGTGGTTGTTGTTGTTGACGGTGGTTGTTGCACCGTAGTTGTAATTGGTGGGTGGCGTCGGAAATGACGAGAGAACAAAAGGGGGAAAGGACGAAGATGAACAGAAAAAGAGGGAAAAGAAGTGGAGCAGAGAAAGGGGGAAAGCAAGAAGACGAACAGAGATGAGGAAAGAAGAGTAAAGAGAAAGAAAATAAAGAGAAGATGAAAGAGAAAGAGAAAAAGAAGAAAGAGAAAAAGAGAGGAGGAAAGAGAAAAAGAAATCCGGGAAAAGAGAGGAGGATAGAGAAAAAGAAGAAAGAGAAAAAGAAAAAGAAAAAGAAGAGAGAGAGAAAATCTGACTTTTCCGGTTTTTTTTTTATATTCAGTTTCTTTTTTTTCTTTTTTTTTATAATAGTCATAATTCCGTCGGAAATGCATAAAATCCGTCGGAAAGGTAAATTTCAGAAGGAATATTCCGTCGAAAATTTCCGACGGATTTTATTTCCGCCGGAAATTTAATGTTCCGACGGATATATTTTCCGTCGGAAATTGAATGTTCCGACGGATTTCCTATGGAATAAAATTTCGTAGGAATTTCTGACTTTTCCGACAGAAATTCTTGTCCGTCGGAAATTTTGTTCCGTCGAAAATCGGCCTATTTCTAGTAGTGAGAAAGGGGAAAGAGAAATGAAGAAGAGGCGGTGAGGGAAAGATGCGAGGAGAGAGAAAGGGGGAAAAGAAGTGGAGCAGAGAAAGGAGGAAAGGAAGAAGACGAACAGAGATGAGGAAAGAGAAAGAAAAGAGAAAGAGAAGAGGAAAGAGAAAGAAAAGGCTCCGGGAAAAGAGAGGAGGAAAGAGAAAAAGAAGAAAGAGAAAAAGAAAAAGAAGAGATTGAGAATAGAGAAAAAGATCCGGGTTTTTTTTCATATTCAGTTTTTTTCTTTTTTTTTTTAAGTCAAAATTCCGTCAGAAATGCATACAATCAGTCGGAAAGGTAAATTTCTGACGGAATATTCCGTTGAAAAATTCCGACGGATTTTATTTCCGTCAGAAAATAACTGTTCGACGGAATAATCTGTCGGAAATTTCCGACAGATTTTATTTCCGTCGAAAAATTAAGTTTCCGACGGAATATTCCGTCGGAGATCCCATAAATTCCAATGGATTTGTATTCCGTAGGAAATCCGTCGTAAATTTCCGACGGAATAAAAATCCGTCAGAATTTACGACGGAAAAACATGTCCGTCGTAAATCGGCCTATTTCTAGTAGTGTGTTGGGGTAGAAGCGCAAGCTTCCCCAAGTCCCAGATGGGGACTACGAGAAAATAATAGAGGCGGGGTTTTTTGAGCTTACAACCACCGCCCTCTCAACCGGGGAATTAATAAGCATACCCAAGAATATTGGGTACCCAAACATGAGTTTCTGAGAGATGGAGCCTTCTTATCCGCTTGTGGGTTGAGCACCCAATTTAATAGACGTACGTTTGGGGAATTTTAGGCAGGGGCAATTCCGTAATTTCTCTGGAATACAAACGGTTTTGACCGTTGGCCAATTAGAGAGTGACAATTGTCACGTATGCCATGTGACGTGCCACGTCACATCTGTGAGGGGAAAATGTTTCGGGTAAAAATACCCTTTGCCACGTGACCGCCCAATCAGCCTGTGAAACGTGTCACCCCATGGGTGGACCACAATGGGCCACTCCCTCTTGGACATGTGGCAAATACTTCAAAGATCCTATAAATAGGGAGATATCCACATTTATTATATTCGTTTACAAACATATACAAAAACACACATCTTGAGAAATATTAATTGCAGATATTTACTCCTAATCTCGAAAATCGAGAAGATCATTTATGTTCCGCATTTATTACAGACTCCATACTCGTAACTTGACCGTTGGAGGCAAAACTCCACGCAACCGGAGTTTCCGTGGTTTTACAGGTACAGACGCTGGAATCCAGTCTTGGTGTTGTAACTCTCCCAAGGAACACAAAACCCCCAAAACACAACATAATATGTATGTCAACCACCCTGAAGTCATACATCCTCATCATATGGATTGTTGAAATCGGAATCTGATTGAAGGCATTTTTCAAGCAATGATGCTTTAATTCCTCTTCATTTTTTTTTTCTCATAAAATTTTTGAGGAAAAAAGCTTAGGGGGATATTATTATATAATTGGTTTTCGTTCAATTATTCATCAGCCTATATAGGGACTGATTTTATTCTGGATGGAAGTGTATTTAATTAATTTCATTTGAAAATTTGATAAAAAATTGTGTGATATATACTTGATGTTGTGTTAAATTTGACTGGTTAGTAAGTAAAGTGAGATTGATCACATGACGAAAAAGCAGCTCAAAAATCACATGCATGAACTCCCATATAATTGAACAATAATTTACCTTTTTATATTAAATTGCAATTAACTAATATGGAAAAATATAGTCATTTTTTAAGAAAAATTAATCTAGTGAAATGTTTTTAAAGAATTATATTGACAAGAACCATTTATAAAATTTCTGATTCATATATTCTTCTAGAAACTAAATGTCTATACTACATATATTTGAATAATTAATCAAAAAGATAAAGTAATTTAATTAAGTAGAAGGACGACTGCTCTTCATTCTTATTCAAAATTAATAAAGAGAATTGAATTTAATGTTCACCATAATATGTCAACCATCATGAAGTCATCCTCGTCATATGGAATGTTTAAATCAAAATCTAAAGGCATTTTTCAGGCATTGATGCTATAATTTCTCTTCTGTTTAAAATTTATATACTCCGTATTATTATAGGTATTGAGGAAAAAGTTTAGGGATAGATGCGGGTCAAGTAAAGTGTGGTATGACATAGTTTGTTTAATTTTATTTCATTTACAATACTTCTCTTTGGTAAATTATCTTCATATTAATAAGTTTCTCTATGTCATTAAAATACTAGTTATCACAGTATTATTCTTTGTAGAAAGGAAAGGACTACTCAATCCAGAAATTAGGGCATTACTTATCCTCCACGGTATCTAATCCAGCCAGAAAGTTGCAATTGTTGTTCCCTTCCTTCAAATTATACTGTTTTTGCTCAAATCTATCAGGGATCATTGACTACTATATATACGAAATTATTTTATTACATATATTCACACGTGAGATAACATGAAAATGAAAATGTTACAAATATAGAATGGATGTATTATTATTTGATACAACACTTTATTACAAACTTTGCTTATTCTTTTGCTTTCATACATATAGATATGAGTACGTATGTAATATTTTACATACTACCTCTGTTAATTTTATTGCAATAAAGGGTACTATTTGCAAGACATAATAAATTCCTTTGTTGCAACTAAAAAATAACGAAGGTAGTACATCATAATTCATGATTTAGCTGTTGAACCTGGCCTTGTAATCATTCCACAATTGATTAACAGATTTGCCCAACAAATCAGTGAAATAAGCATCACTATATCCACCCCTCATCTTCTTATTAAGCTCAGCCACAAACCCATCTCTTAAACTGTTACAATAGTCTAAGAATCTGGCTGTAACATCATAACCCTGATCCCATCTATCACCTTGACCGGGTTTAATCCAATGAGACGGTGCATAACCGGCCTTAAGCCTAACATAATCCGCGATCCCCTCAATCAACCCTCCGGGTGCCTGCCCATTGCCGTTCCATTGCCACACATGGGCCATTTCGTGGATTAAGACACCCGTGACTTCGGTTTTGACGTTGCCTGAGTAGCTTTGGACGTAGTTTGCATTCAGGTGGATTTGGTCGTTGACTGTGTAAGCTGCGTAATCTTGCATACTTTCCACTATAAGTCTCACCTGTGACGTATTATAACTTATAAATTAGATTAATAATTTCGTAAAGCAGAACGTAGAACAATAGACTGGTTATATTATCTTGTTATAAGGCTATATTGGTTACAATAATTGCTTGGTTTTGTTGTTGTTTTTGACAAGTTTTCTTATTTTGTTATAAAACTATTGATCCTATCAACACAATATTATAGGTAATCATACTTCAAAATCGAGAAGTATTCTTAAACTGTTGAGCCTATTAACACAATATTATAGGTAAACACACTTTGCATACATGTCTTAGATTACTACGTACTAGGTATAACAGGACACTCCATGTTGTGATTAATGATATGATTAATATATAGCCAAAAAAAAATATTATAGATTTACGTGGTTCATTAATAATAATGCGTCAGTTTAAAAATAGTACCGTACTCTCATAACAAAAATGGTTTAGGGCCTTTAGGCCTAAATAGACCTGGTTATTAGACGAGTCGGTGCGGGTTATTTTTGGGTTGGGTCAAAGAAGGTCATATTTTATAGGGTCAATAGCGGGTCAGGTCCATGCGGATTGATAACGGGCGGGCAAACAAAATATCAATTAAAAGAGACATTGAACAAAGCCATTATTAAGTACATATGAATACAAATTTATCTATGTAATTATTTTTACGTTATCTATTTTGTTTGTCTATTAAATTGGAAAAAAAAATTTGGCCCTATGTTGACTCTACCCAATAAGGGTCCTATCCGTTTAAGGCCCTGTTCATTAAAAGCCCTTTAAGCTTGATCCTGACCCTATTATCATTGGGCTACCCTACCCAATAACAAGCTCAAGGCCTAAACAGTGAGACATGGTACGGGTTAGAAAGTAACCTGTTGGATGTTACTCTTGCGGCAAGCCGGGTCGGTTTGGTGGAAGGTTTTCCAAATGAAGTTCGTGGCAGCAGAGAGTGTTTGGTGGGCGTAGGCAGTCCCGACTTCATTGTTGAATCGGGTGCCACCTGGAGTATTGGCGGCGGAGTTGGTGACTGAGTAAGTCACCGCGGTGACTTGGGTGGTGAGGAGTAGAAGGAAGGAGGATAGAAAAACTAAGGGAGACATATTTTGTGACTCTACTTTTATTAAGGTTGTTATGTTTTGTTGCATAGAAAGATTAGAAATATCTATATATAGAGAATAGAGAATAGCGCAGCGGTACTAGTTGAGGGTGCTGTGATTTTTTTTTTTTTCCTTTGGTTTTTTCCAGTTTATTCATCGTTGCTATTTGACTTCCTCTGTTTTTTTTAGTGTCTATAGTGACATAGCATACATGTTGATGCAAAACTTTGTCTATTTAATTTTATTTTTTTTAATTATCAAATACTATAAATTATACTAACAATTAAATATTAATAAACTACTTATTGAGACGATTCCAATAAGTGTCCACAAGACTATAATTTTTTTAATAAACTACCTCAATTTCTGAAAGTTCGACTCACTTACTATTCATGCGGTCAAAATAAAAAACTTTAACCACATTTTATGATTTATACAATCAAACTAAATTAACAAGTTTGGTCTTATTAGATCCTCTACTGATAAATTTTCCAAATACCAACTTTTAAAAAAATTTACATATACATAGCCGAAGTTATTAATGGTCAAAGATGTTTATTGGAGACCGTGCAAATGCAAAGTGAGTCAACCTTTCAGGAACGGAGGAAGTATATACAATTCATAAAAATTGGTCAAAATAGGTCTAATAAATAAAGCCAAAACTCCCAATAAGACACTTAAAAACAAAGGAAGTACTTTTCTAGAATAAATGCGTCTTGTGTATGGCTGACTACATTGTGTGGTCGCTTGTAAAACAAACAAAAAAAAGTAACTCCTAAAACATTGGCTAAGTAACCCTTGTAACACTGACTAAGTAATCCTTATAATACTGGCGAAGTAACCACTATAACACTAACCGAGTAACCTCTATAACACTAACGAAGTAACCTCCATAATGACTTGTCATACAATGTAACCAGCCACATATAAGAACATGTGTTCTAGAATATAATTTTGTCTTTAATGTACTTTTACTTATTTGTATATCATTTTATACATTTTTCCTACTCCTCTATACTTCTTAATTCTCGTGAAATATAAAAAAGGGGAAGTATATTATGCGACGGAATGAGTAAATTAGTTGAAGCTGATGAATGCGCGAAATGCAATAAGCGCCATAGCTCAGTATTTATTTTTAAAAAATTAACTCACTTATATTTTTTGGTATTCTAAATTTTAATATCTTATTGACTTTGACTTGTGGTGCATTGTTGAGTCATACACAATTAAATCAATTCAAGTGATGATTTTCTTTACGAGGTTCTAAAAAATCAAGGACAACCACAAATCAAAACCAAAGGTCGTGTGTCTATCATTGCTTGACCTTTAAAGGTAAATTGCAGTATTGTCAACTTGTGAGAAATTTAATTGTCAAGGAGTAAAAATCAACATTTAAAAATGGAAAGTTTTACTCAATAAAACCATTAAGGGCACAATGATGGAAAATTAAGCCCCCAACCTCATAATGCAAAGGTGAGATAAACTCTACCGTTAAGCTAAGCTTCCACTTGATTCTAGCTGATTTTTTTCTTTATCAACTCTATTTAATTTGTTCTACCACTAGCAATATAAGTCAATGCATGCTGCCACAAAACCTTATACTTATTGGCCAAAACGAAATTTTTGTAGAATTTATTAGTGGGACTATAATGAAAAATAATCACCACTTAAGTACAACATAATAGTTTTAATATATACTACATCTGTCTAGATTTCACTATCATGCTATTAGTACAAATTAATTAAACTATCAGCATGACAATTAATTTCGAACAAATGAAGTATACATACGTATGTTTCATAATTGGTTCATTCCATAGTAAAACTAATTCCCATACTTGGCCTTATAATCAGACCAAAGTTGATCCACACTTTTACCTAACATATCCTCAAAAAAACTATCACTATAACCATCTTTCATCTTCAAGTTAAGTTGAGCAACAAATCCACCAATCAAACTCTCACAGTAGTCCAAGAACCTAGCCGTGGTGCTATAACCTTCGTCCCATCGGTTTCCACCCCCTGGTTGCGCCCACCCATTCGCGATGTAGCCAGCCTTCAACCTCACATAATCAGCAATGCCTTCAATTAACCCCCCGTTAGCCTGACCATTACCATTCCATTGCCAAACATGGGTCATCTCATGGTAAATTACCCCGGTAAATTCGGTTTTCACATCACCTGAATAACTCCCTAAATATTGAGCAGAAAATTGGATTTCATTGTTGCTAGTTTGGGCTACCACGTTTAAGCTTGGCACTATGGTTAGACTAACTTGGTCTATACCTTGCTTACGGTCAGCATCCGTGTTTTGGTGGAAGGTTTGCCAAATGAAGTCAGTGGCACTCGCGAGTGTTTGTCTCGCATAGTCCTCGCCAACTTGGTTGGCGAAGATTGTGCCACCGTTGGTGGAGGCTGCATTGTTTGTAACCGTGTAATCAACTGCTATGATCCCTCGCGATTTTACGAGAGTGATCATAGCTAACAACATGAAGAGGGTGCTAGCTTTGATCCCCTTTAGACACCATTTTTTTTATTTATTGAATGATACTTTAATTTTTTTATTATATGGAAAGATGATTAGTAGTTTTTTTGATGATTGAAGTTATTGAACGAGATGACGCTTATATAGGAGGATGACCGTGCACATGATTTTTATAACGCGTTATCCTACCTAGAATCCTAATTAATTTGGCAGCAATTTAATTGTGTTGAAATGGTCAAATACTGATACAAGTCTACAAAATACAATTCAAACTCTAGATTATTATTAGATCATAAAAATACGTAAATTTATTACATCATATTGACTTTTACACTATTCACATATTTTTCTTTGACCATCGGATCTATTGCAGGGTGTCCTCGATTCATTATATATGGTATTTGCTATATGATTTAATTTTATGCATTCGATAATTAGGCTCACAGTTTTTTACTGGCAAGATATATGCAAAATGACAGGATTATTATTAGTGAATTTAAAGTTTAAGTGTATAATTTAATTTGGAAAAATCTTTAATTTGGCTGTATGTTAGTTGTTAAATTTGCAGCTTAAAATTCAAAGTAAACGGAGTAGTAGAATCACTGTACTTTTGAAAATCTCATCAGTGTAGGGTATATCAACTTTCTTTCTAAGAAAAATAGTGACTCAGGGTTACTAGATAAATGGATATATAGGTCATTACTATTCTTCGAAAGCTTAAGTCTTCTTACAAATTTCATGGACTTGGTTCATAATCAAAGTTCATATGGTTTGACTATTAAACGTAAAATTGGCTATTTTAGATTTCTAGTAGGGAGGAAAGAAATGTTACCGATCTTACCATACTCAGAGCCTAACTCCCCATTTTTCAATACTAAAGTCAATTGGCAACAAATAATGAAGTAGTCCACCAATCTTATATTCTTATGTGCTAGTCATATTATATCTATTTATTCAATATGGGACAACTTATATCAATTCATATCTGGTTTAAATTATTTTCTGACACTAATTGTCTTTATATGAGTCACTTTTTTTTTTTGAATAAAAAATGATTCATAAATAAAAAGTCATACGACATCTACAAAGACATTTAAATTTAATAAATACATGACAATTGAATCAAATAAAAGCTTCCTTTCAACAGAGTTACGATCATTGTTGCAAATCGTACATTCTTTATACCCTCTTTTATATTGCTGTGATTTACAGCCTTTTTCGACGAGGGAGTCTATCGATTTGTTGTAGTTGTGAAGAAAATTTTCATCTAATTGTAATCGAAGGATTAATCTCTTTTTCTATCCCGCACAAATCTTTACCCATAAAATAACTTGTACTATACTAAACTCAAAAAACAAAACAAACTAGAACAAAGCCCACTATAGGGGAGCTTTCTACACTCAAACTCACTATAGGGGTACTTACTACCTTCAAAGATTGTTGAATTGAATAACAAAAACATAAAGAAACTAAAGGGAAAGGGTCGGAAATAGCCAAATTTCCAGAGAAATTTGACTATTTCCGACCTATGAAACACTTTTTTTTTAAGAACCCTAGAGAGAAAAAATAGAGAGGTGACGGCTAGGGTTTTTTTTTTCAAGCGGTTCATAAATATGAATATGTTTTTTTATATATGAGTCACCTTAAATCTTGCAATTTGGCATTGATAGGTCACAAACTTTCTTGCTGGATGATAAATTGATAATACTCAAGAGAACAAAATGATTGTTAAAAAAAAAAACAAAAAACAAACAAAAACAAAAACAAAAAAAAAAAAAAAAGAATAATGTCCATAGTTGGGACTTAGTTGGGACTGCTTAAAGAATAATGTCCATAGTTGGGAGTTAGGACTGATAACATATTACTAGTCATTATAACAACAATAAACAACAAGTAATTTTAGATCTAAAACGTGGTCGGCTTTACTCTAATAACTTGGTTGTTCTTAATGAATTGAAGTTTATAGTTGATTGAGGAAGATAATAATGAGGAGCAATAGTGTTGATAACCACATTATATCATATCCCTGCGGCCCTGCCTCGCAGCATGTCCATGAAATACTTCTTTAAGCTATTTAGCTATTTGAGGAGATTAATTACATTTCTATGCTAAAGCATATAATAATGGTGTTAATTAAGAAGATCGAGCTTTATTAAAAAAACTCATAGCTGTTCTAAAAGTCTAAAACCTAAAAAATTGGTCGATAAAATTCATAACTAATCAAAAAGTAGAATAAATGTAGAATTTATACATATAGAACCACAAATCTGATTTATATAGAATGCACTTAATACTATTGCACCATGTGCCAATAGTTAATTAAGTAATCAACGTAACAAAACATACTTTATTTTATTCCCAACAAAGGAGAGATATAACAACCGTTATAATATAAATTTTTTTCCATTTAAGTCCAAAATTAATTGTCACGTTAATAATTAGTGACAACATAACGTGGACAATGGTAAGTTTGTAAACACCAATCCATAATACATAAATTGGTGCAAGTGTTACACTTATAATCTTATATTATACCATAACCAATCTAATGTCCATACTGAGCCTTATAATCAGACCAGAGTTGATCAACACTTTTACCCAACAAATCCTGAAAAAAAACCATCAGTATAACCATCTTTCATCTTCATGTTAAGCTGAGCCACAAATCCATTCATCAAACTCTCACAGTAGTCCAAGAACCTAGCCGTCACGCTATAGCCGGCGTCCCATTTGTCACCGTCCCCTGGTTGAGCCCATCCACTCGGGATGAACCCGGCCTTTAACCTCACAAAATCAGCTATTCCTTCAATTAACCCGGAGTTAGCCTGACCATTACCATTCCATTGCCAAACATGAGCCATTTCATGGTAAATTACTCCATCAAATCCGTTTTTAACGTCATCAGACGAGTCACTTCTTGTAATGTACTCAGCCGAATAACTGATTTGGTTGTCACTGGTTTCGGCCACGATTTGTGGTGGCAAACTAGGCACTATGATTAGACTAACTTGATCAACTGACTTACGGTCAGCATCAGTGTTTTCTTGGAAAGTTTACCATATGAAGTTGGTGGCACTTTCGAGTGTTTGGAACGCATGGTCTTCGCCAATTTGGTTGGCAAAGACCATGCCACCGGATGTTGAGGTTGCATTGTTTGTGACCGTGTAATCAACAGCTAAAATCCCTCGTGACGCGGCTAGGGTGATGAGGGTGAGAAGTAGAGCAAGAAGGCTAATGTGGTTCGATTTATGCGCCGTTTTGGTTCAGTTTTTTTGGAGTTGTTTATGAAGGATATATTTGTATTGGTAATTTGTTTTTGGTTTTTGTGCTTGAAGTTGTGTTTTTGTAAGGCTTTATATAGAGTGTGTGGTATGTCCCAAACTTGTATGTCACTCCCAGCTTTTGACAAAATGGACCATTCATGTATTGTAGCCTAACTTATTACTTTCTTATATTACAACGTATCAATTAATTTGAATAGACACTGATACACTGTACTAATTTGTACGTCATTTGATTTTTTTTTAGTTAAAAAAAATACATATATGATTTCCTATAAACTGATGAGAGTAATGTTGATATCGATTAATACTTTTTCTGCTTCATATTAGTTGACACATTCAATATTAGTGTAGGTCACATCCATCATAATATGTTTTTTTTTTAAATAAAAAAATAAAATAAAAATAGAAGTGAATTTCAAAACTAAATGATAATAGAATTACCTTTTAAGTTTATAAAGTGTTTAGCTCTCTTCATGTATCAACGTAGATACTCAGCAATGACTTTTCAAAATGGTAAGAGTGTTGGTCCTAATAAACATTAATTGAGAATGGGATTGGTTGACTTTGACTTTTCATGAGTCTTCTTTCCATTATCGGTGAAAATTAAGAAAGACTTGGCCATCAATAAGATGAATTTTAGTTATATGGTGGGGCAAAAATTCAACGTGGAAGGCTCGTAATAATTTTGTATAATTTTTTTTTTTAAAGGCTTAATTGTTGTATTTAATGAAGTTAAGGAATAATTATGTAATACATCATCCATTCTTTAAAGGGTTTTTTTTTTTTATGATTTTCATTTTAATTGTGAGGTTTTTAATGTCGTCACCATTGATATTATCAATTACATATTGCTACGTCTTTTGTTTTCGGATTAATTGTAACATTTTTTTATTTGATAAAAGTTTGTTTTTTCCTTCTCTCTCACTAACCTCACTTTCACTATTAACAACTAAATATAAATCCACAAACTATACTTTATATTATAAAATCCTCGTTTTGGTCTCCCACCTTATACTATTTCTTAAATTAAACTATAAAGTATGTGTCACCTCTATTGTTGCTATTAATCAGAAACAAAGGGAATAACATATTTCCTAATATCTAAACTACAATCATGGTTAAAGCTTCATAAACACGAAAAAGGTATTTATGGAACTAGGAAGTAATTAATTAAAATGGGATATAGCTATGAACAGATGTTTCTGTTGCTATATGCTCCTTTAGTTCGTCTAAGATTTTACTTGTATTTAACAACAAAAACCAAAAAATATTCCCTAGTTAACCAAAAATCTCTTACAGAAAATAGTACAGTGTATTAAAACAATCTTAGTGAAACGGAAGAACGATAATTTGGCCTTGAGATCTCGTGTAACACTGTAACAGTGTAACACATATGTGCAACTTCTCTCCCTTAAAAACTTACTAAGTAACTGGCCTATCTCTATATAATTTTTAGACAACTTTATCTCTAATAGAATGGGCTTTTTCTTATAAAATGGGTGTGCTTGTTTGGTTACTGGATCTGTTTATTGGGCCTGTTGGCTATTGGATCACTTCTTAACAGGAAATTGACATCCATTAGAAAAAATGGAAAGAAACTTTATTGTATTTCTAAGGATCATAATATTAAACGAAGTTTTAATAATCAGTTATGTGGCTGTAGTTTAGTGGTAAGAATTCCACGTTGTGGCCGTGGAGACCTGGGCTCGAATCCCAGCAGCCACACAATTTTCCTTTTTTTTTTTTTTGTCACAATCATCCGTCAATGTTACCCCGCATCTCAGTCATAATGATTATATCAAGTGAATTTATTAAACTTTTAAAATATTTGATCGTTATTAAATTTATCATAATACCTCATAAATTTTGTAATGTACAATTAACCACCATTACGTTTTTTTTCCTCATCTTTTTAATTTCAATACTGAATAATCACTTAATTAAATAGAGAGACCTAGATTTGATTAACAAGTTTAAGTTAGAAGTAGACACGTCTACTACTACAACCACCTACAAAAGCCCTTTTGTGTGTGAATTTACTACTACAACTCACCTAACTTAAAAATGAGATCAATCAAATATAATAAAATTTATACAAGCTTAGTCATCAAATCAGCCGTCAATGAAACTAAATCTGCCCTTCTCCATCTGTCTTCTTTAGAGAGTGAACACTTATTTTGTCACATTTCTTTGCTAAAGTGAAGATAACCATTCCTATTGAATAATATTATCCTTTCCCTTATTATTGAATAATATTATCCTTTTTTAATATAATAAAACTATGTTTTATATATAATATATTCAGCTTATTCTGTCTAAATATATTTAAACTTGTTTCAACTAAGTTTTATTGTGAGATCGATCAGCTAGCGAGCTTATTTTTAATACAACAAACTTGTTTGTGAACATGTCTAAATTTATTTTCATTGTAGTAGAACTTATTTTGACTTAAATTATTTGAACTTATTTCATCTATTTTTTTTTTTTTTCAAACTTATACGAGTTTATCTTAAATTATTTAAATTAAGTTGAATGAACAAGGCAATAGATAGCCACACTTGTCTTATTAATATAGTCCTTTATCATTGTAAAATTTATATCATTAGCTATCATATATACAAAATACTAACGTTGTTAAGAGTATTGCTAAGGATAATACAAATATGAAAAGTGACCTATAGACCTTCAAAAGAACAAATGTAAGTTCATTTAAAAAGGCGAAGGAAACATTTTATTTTACCAATTAACAGTTAAATACTACTTTATCCGTATTTTATTATTTGCTCTACTTTTTTTTTTGCGGTCTTATTTTAATACTTGCTTTATTTTCTTTTTGAGAAACCTTTTACAATATTATACTAATTTTTCCTCTCCTAGTAGATCCCCAACTATCATACTTTAATGTTTTCATATTATCTCTCCTCCAATCTATCATACTTTATTCTTCCACCAACCTCATTTCCTTCATATTTTATTACTTGCTACCATTTTTTCTAAAACTCCGCACATGAAAAATTGGAGCAAGTAATAAAATACGGAGAGAGTATGTATTTCACGAGACTTCTTATATTCTATCCGGTGATTTACCGAAAGCCACAACTCTTGGGACTTTGTGAGTGGAAAGAGTCTGAAAATATATGGAGGGGATGACAATTTGAAAGGAAATCTCAATCAAAGGCCGGTAATTGAGCATGTTATTAGGAAGAGAAGAATATACAAGTAATCAAGTATTTAGCTCCCTAACTTCTAAGTCAGGAAATGGACACTACACTCTATTAATAGTATGGTACCTTTTCATACTGTTTGACCATATATTTTCGACCATACAACTAAGTATGTAACTTGATATTATTATGAATTTTTAAAAAAATTGTGTAGCTTATGCAGAGAACAACATTTTTTAAAAAATTTATGTCACAAGTATATATATATAAGAATATTGAAAATTGTCGAATCGTTTGATACGAAATTCATATACTTCCTCCGTTACATATTAGTTGCAACTTTGGAATTTTTTATGTCTCACAAATAATATCCCAAATTGCAACAAAATGTAATGGAGGAAGTATTAGACTTGGACTAATTTGAAATCATAAACACAAATATTAGATAATAAGCGGGCATTTTTAGTTGGTGGCACTTGAAAGCGTTAGTTCTTAATTGCAAATTGGTAGAGCCCAAATTCGTTACACAAAAGATTTTTATTGTTTGTTTTGATACGATGAGTGGAATGACCCACAAATTACATTACAAATTACATACTTCGTATAATAGAAGAGGGAGATTCAAACTTACGATCTGTTGTATACGGATCCTTAAATCTTTTCTAAAACACCTTTTATTTTATTTTATTTATTTATTTATTTATTTATTTTTGATGAACAAACACCTTTTCCATTATTTGATGTGAATGAATTTGATGCCAAATATTGAGTCAACATATATGCTACCTCCGTTACATATTATATGCAACTTTTGGGTATTATTTATGAGATACAAAAATTCAAAAGTTGCACATAATATGTAACGGATGGTACATATTATTTGTGACAATTTGACAATATAATACGATGGTTGGATTTCCAAGCACAATCTAGCTGCTCGTGAACTTGCATAGTTGGCACGGCATAATCAGTATGAATTGTCAAATATTGTGATCTTTGACAAATTGAGTCCACGCAATGTTATTATCATCAATATTATCTTGCTACAAGACTTACAACACTAGTCAAAGATTGCTTTAATAACGAATATAGCTTCTATATCTATATTTATCGATCCATATTATTACTATTTTATCCATTTAATCATTTCCAATTTGAATTTGGACTGTGTTGCATTTCACAATTAGTTGTTGTAATGCGCAATTAGAAAACAATATAAGTACTCTAACGATATCGTCCATTTATTTGATCGTTGAATAAAATAAATTCAATATTGCAATAAAAAAAAATAAGAAAAACAAAGCTATATTGAAAACGTAGTATGTTGTATTTTTGTATGTGATGGATTATGGATTTATCCATTTCCATTTGTACACTCTCAAAGTTTCCTACCTAATTTGTAAAACAATAAATTCAAGTATCTACACAAGTACAAGAAATACTCTTGTTGTGGCATATGTCAATATCTACGTAGTATATGAAGCCAGTTTCGAGGCAAGAGACCTGGGTTCGAGACCTACCAACGCCCCGAGACAAGGCGAAAAAAATAAAAATAGAAAGAGCAAGTGCTCTCTCCATATGATCTTGTTTAGAAATAGAATAAAATAATAAACAAACCACTAATATCTTCAAGTCTTCAACAACTCAATGTATCTCCATTAAATGATCAATGACCAGCACCACCCCTACTTGGACCGGAGTAAGCTCTTGCGATAATATATCGAAAAATCGATGAATCGACGGGTTGTTCTTGATCTCTTAGAGGTCTCACGCCTTCCACTCGCATACACTCAGAAATAAGCAAAAAGAAGATTGTAACAAGAATCATATTGAAGAATGATACATAAACTTGGCACCTCATTTTTATTTTTCTTTTTTGGAAGCTAAAATATCTCAAGAAATAATATGTAAATTAAATGGTATGTATTGTAGTTTGTACGTGAAAATATATGTTTTGAGAATTATGAAGAAATGAAATGAGGCTATGAATATTTATAGTAAGGAAAAGAGAATGAAATTTATGTTCATCTACTACTAATTGACTTAGTATATAATAAATTTGGTGGGTTGATAATAAATAAAGAAAAATATTGTGGGAAAAGTTTATGAAGTTTGGCGAAGAAGTAAACGGTAGTTAAAATTTTCAAAGGTTTGAATTTTAGAGGGTTTAAAACGTGTATAGGAAAGGTTACAGATTAAAAGTTAGAAGTCGCAAAATGTTTAGCATATGAAATGAGTTAAGTCAAAGTGTCGGAATAAAGGTAGGAGAGTTGGTACGCTGGTTAAGCTGCAACTAGTATAACGATTGGCGTTTTCAAACTTTGGACTGATTTAGTTATTAATAAAGTATAATCTGATTAATCTCACATTCTTCTGGTACAATCTTAGTACGTATACTTTAGTTATTTAATGCTGTTTATGTGTTGAAAGTTTATTTATTGGACTTTTTCATTGTTGTCATTTTTTAATTTTACATAAAGGCTATGATAAAGATACCAAAGTTATGAATAAGTACTTAAACAATTTATTTGGTCAAGTATAATTACGAGTCTCAGGGTAGATTTTCTATTTTAGAGTAATGCGTCTAATCGTCTATTATAACAACCTAGAGACCTTTTTTTTGGAAAAATATTAGAAAATCTTGCCTCTAAAGTACTTTTAGTGAAATTTTAAAGTGAATTTCAATCCTACCAACTTTATTTCAAATGGATCAGGTTATGAGTTGTCTACTTGTTAAACTTTAAAATCTAGATTAGATCTTTTCAAATCTCTCACTTTTCCAAATCTAGCTACAAGTCAACAACCAATGAAATTCTTATATGGAGTGATTAATAGCAAGTAATCAATTTACAACAATCTTTAACAAATCAATTATAATAATAAATATTGAACTTCAACCTTTAAAGTCAAAAGAAATCTTTATTTAACTTAGTAGGGAGGGAGTAACCATCTATCATTGCATTTCAATTTAATTACTTTTCTAACATCCATTTATTTCAGCATTTTGTTAACCTCCCCCCAAAAAAGTAACATGTGTACATGACAGCAAGCTGAGCAAAGGAAGAAGACTAGTAGTGTGAACGGCCAACATATAATGACGTGTGAACAACCACTTTTATATGGCATATAGCAAAATACGACTGAAAATTAAGCTCAAAATTTATGGAAATGTTACACAAAATGTGTTGATCAATACCAACCGTCCTGGAGCAGAGCACATACAAACATACAATACACTGAAGTGTGACCTAAGCAATGACTAAACATCTTATATTCTACACTCACACAAACAAGCAGCTAATACAATGTTCAGTCAAGGAATGCGCGAGCTCAAAAAAATTGAATTGAATTAAGATTTTGTTTGCAGTCAATGTACTTAATTTGAACAAGTCACCATTAATTTTGTTGTGCTTGTGCACCTTAAAATTCTCAACTATTGTCAAAACATCAATAACATACAACATTAGAAAACCTATTTCCCACGTAATGAAGTGGTAATAGATGGTCAATGTAATACATTATTAGAAAGGAGATAAAAGGAAGGTGCTCAGCTGTTTCATAATATCATCATCTACATATGCTGATATACAGACATACTTTCCAGCAATAAGCTTTGACTAACCCGGCTGTGACATGATTCCTGAGGAATTCAAGATACTAGTACGAGTGAGAAGGTTTCGGAAATATCAACATCCACTCTGTTTCCAAGCTGTACATGTATCCACAAGCGGTGCTGCGGGAGAACCAAGTTTATGCCATATCATCAACTTTGGGATAGACAATGTTGCATCATTTTTTTAACTGCAAAGCAAAAGAATACTTAACTCCAGATGAAAACAATTATTAAAAGTACAAAGCAACTGGAAAAGTTAATACATGAACAAAACATAGCTTTTATTGTTCATTTGATATCTTTTGCAGAATAATATTTCAATACACCAAATTGTGTTTGTGAAACCAACAATAAGTGTTTGCAAATAAAATTACCAGCCAATATGCTTGGGATGCATTACCATAATCTTGCAATTAAGACTAGGGGTCAGAAATTTACACATGCAGCTACAGCTTGGGTTTCAAGCATCATCATCAAATTGATGATAAATATCCTCATGCTCTGCGTCGGGCATAAGTTCTAGTGTTCAGCCCAATGTGTTCCATTGTGGTCTAATGTCACCTTTTAAGAATCCACTGTTTTCAACAGAGGTTGTATAACTTCAAACTCGGAAAATACACGGATGCACAGTCACTGCCATTGCATTACGGCATGAGCATATCCTCAATCAACGTCCTCCCACGGGATGAAGAGAAGAACAATGTATGTTGACTCACAGCGAGTGGTTCCTTAAACATAAAAACACTTCCTTAGATCAAAGCATAATGTGCAAAAAAGAACGGCTCTTCCCAGTTGTTGGGAGGAGGCGTACACAAATACAATGGAATGTAAACGAACATCTTTTAAGTAATAAATAACAGAAAACTACTCCTTCCAAAGACAGTGATTAAACAACAAAGAAAACATATTCATCCAAACTCCATACCAATCATTGGAAGGAAACAAGGTTAATCCATGAATGGAAAGAACGGCCAGAGACATCTAACCCATCGCAGGCAAATCCAAGTGTCCTCCGTAGCTTTCATTAATACAAGCCTAACATATTATTTACAAGCAACAGTTAACATATGATTACAATCAAAACAGAGAATAAAAGGCTACATCAGCAATTCATGGGAGACACCAAACCACATAGGGAAATACTGAAACAAACAGTTGGAAGTTGGAGTACAGGTCTTTGGCACCACCTGGCCCCAACAGACTTAACCAACTAAACAAGCAAACAACTGATAATGTCAGCTATTCAGAGAAACCGAACATGTGAAATTAAAATTGATATGTTTTTATCTTCAAGAAATCCTAGAAGGCTAGAACTGTTGGTAATAGAGAAAGGACAGAAGCTGCCAAAATGGCTTTAAACCAATGATAATCCCACCAAGGCATTAAATTATAAAAAAGCCACTACACCTGCATTCTGTTCATACAAATTTGTACAAAATAACTATTACCAAAGAAAACCTCCCCCTTAAACCATCCCAAAAAATTGTGTCAGCAATTGACCACGCATATCATCATTATCTTGCATATCATGATAGTTCGTTTCTATTTTGCCAAATATCTCTTACGGGGTAAAAAAAATCTAATAAAAAGACAGCTAAACCCAAAATTTTAGCAAAAGGTTAATTGCAGATATAGTAAATTTCTCTGTGGGTTGATGGTTAGAAAGAGCTTCAATAGTAGTCAGGATATAGGCTTCCATAAACTTCAAAGTGCATAATTCTAACAATTGATATAGGCAATTTTGTAGAATCAGACAATGAGAGAAAAAAGACATGATCACAAAAGCAATATCATACCTGGAGATAAGGCAAGACAGCGTCATATGCATGTTTAAAAGCCTTTGATTCCAATGTCAACCTGATCCATTAACCAAGTGTTATGATAAATGAATAACCGGCAAGATGTAATTATTATTTAAAGAGAATGATGGGGAAAAAGGAAAGAGAAAAAACGTTTAAAATAGGATACAGAGTACAAAGACCAGCTTTTGGACCAAAATCGAAGGTTTTGGAATAATTAACATCAATGAAAATGAGGGGCTCCGAAATGCCAAGTTGGTTATTAATAGAACCCCGGAATGCCAAGTTGGTTATTATTGAAACCATCTCTTGCATCTTTTTGTGACCAATGCAACATAATTCCAAAATAGCCACATAACTGAACCAAACTCATTATTGGGACTTTATAGCCCTATTGATAGGCTTCTCATGGTTCCAAACCAGCTTATATGACCCCGGGGATCACCCCACGCATTTACGTCAATTTTGGAAAACTTTCTCAAAATTGGCCCAAAATCGTGAATAATAACCTTTAGTTTTGAACAATTTTCAACTTTTTGGGACCCAGAAAGAAAACAGGTCAAGGTGCTTCCCATAGACCCCAAAACACCCCTAGAGTCCATTTGAGTGATTGGAACCATCCACTTTACCTTTAAACTGCCAATTTTACGCCCCCTCCCCCACTTCATTAACTCAAGGCCACCACAGGACTTTGTACCATCGACTAGTGGTCATATATGGTTCCAAACAATATTATATGACACAGAAATGCAATCCCTACAATCCTGAGATTTTTCAACATGAAAGTCTAAAACCCATTAACCCCCTCCAATTTCATAAGCCTTCAATTTTGGTCAATTTCGGACTTTTCCGACCTAGAAAGAAAATTTGTCAAGGTTCTTCCCATGGACCCCACAACACCCCAAGAGGTCATTTGGGTGGTTGGAACCATCCACTTCGCCTTTAAACCGTCAAGTTAGCCGTTTACGTACATGTCTCCCTTAATTAACTCAAGGTCACCATAGGCCTTTCATGACCGACTAGTGGTTATAGATGGTTCCAAAAACATTTTATAACCTTGGGATGCATCCCCAAAATTCCCAAAATTTTCCAACATCGGGTCTTGAAACCTCTAAAATTGGTCAAAAAGAGTGCATTCAAAAAGATCATGTTAGCGTAAAATCCATATTAATCAATGCAACAGTCTGATCCTGGATATCAGCTAATTCAATAACATTAAACCTCTGTTCGAGTTCTGATACTTACGAAACGTCGGAAAGGTAAAATCTTAAACAAATGCAACCCAAAGCAATTTCAAAAGGTGTACCAATGCTCGTGTATTTGAGAGGCTAATCAGATTTTTCTTACTTTTGATACTTGTCAAGGGAAGCATAATTGCACAAATAGCAAACATAAAAAGTATCCTTTACACATTATTTCCACAGCTGCACATATGAAAGTCTAAGTCTACCCTGTCTTAAATTGAGTCAAATTAGATAATTCCAATGTAGGTATTGAAAGAAAGGCCACTTCAACCCCAGAACCAGCAATTTAGCAATATTGATAGATATGGCTTTCAGATTTAGATGTAAAGTTCCTCCATATAGCAGCCACAGGGCCAGATAAATCCTTAAGACACATTACAAGAGTATGATGTAACCTTTTGTTGAGATCCTCTGAGAACACAAGACAAATTATTCTGCATATCAGTGTACCAGTACCACTGAGTATCATTCAGGTCATTTGACATGAATATAAGGATGAAAATAAGGGTTGGACCCCTGTCTACGCCCTTAAATGAGCTGAGAGAAAAAGTTCCTAAGTGCACCTAATAAGCTCTAGATAATATAAAGGACAAACATAAATTTATATCATAAATTTATGTGAGAACATGTCCTTTGTAATTTAAGCAGAGCTGTCGTGCCGAACCTAATAAACTGACATTAGATGCATACCTTTTTAAAAGACGAAAACAAACATAGATTTCCTCAATGTCTTCCTCCAGCTTCAGCTGAACATACTGCCTCAGAAGCTCACATAAGTTATGCGAAGCTTCCTTAGCCACATCACCAGTGGCATCACTATATATCTGAAATCCTGAGAGACAGCACTGCAGTGTAGAGGACAACAACCCAGTAGACCCTGACCTGAGAAACATCTCTGCAAGAATGTTCAACATCAAGCAATTGCTGACTTTGAACTTATGGACCCAACAAGGAGGACTTCCAACCCAGAGATTATTATCTTTAGCACATTCCACGGATCCAGTATTATCCTTGCCATGTCCCATTTCCTGCGCTACCTCGGAAACTTTGCAAGACTCAGGTAAACCATTTGGCCTTCGATGGGCAGGAAGTACCCCAACTATATCTGCTCTCAGTTCCTCAGGTAACTGGTGTAGTATAGACATGTCCACTTGGCTTAATGAATAAGGCATTAAATCAACAACTTCTGATTCCACCACAGAATTGGGGATAACTGCAGTTACTGTGCCAATAGTAGGCAATGCCTCTTTCTCCTGATTCTTGGAACACCCAGCCTACAGACCAAAATGATAAGTCATTACAAAACAAAACATACAAAAGGAACAAACGCATGCCTACACGTAGAGATATATCCACTTGGCTTGAATGAATAAGGCATTAGGTCGACATTTCTGATTCAAGTATTCAACACAAAAGTAGAGATTACTACAGACACAATTGCTGTGCCAACTGCCAGTAGCAGGCAATACCTCTTTTTCCTGATTCTCGGAGCACCCAGCCTACAGACCACAACAAGAAGTCATTATAAAACAAAACATACATACAACGGCAACAACTGCATGTTTACATGCTTAAATGAGGCAATGTTATCATATGTACCCAATTAATCACAATACTATGTACCTATGAAAGAGGGAAGCAAAACTACAAGATAACTCCTATGATAAGTGATAATAAAACGGTCAGCAAACGAAAATCAGCAGCTGTATTATATGCAGAAAAGAAGATTAAACACTACCTTGTCCTCCTTAATGTTGTTAATTTGCACAGCAGCAGAAGCATGAATTTCCTGTTTGTTGCAGAATTCACCTAAATGACCATTGGAGTTAAATAGTAAGCCAGGCAAAATCTAACATGCACAGACAAAATATTACCTTCAACTTTCTTTACAGACATAGCAGACACACTCTGATATAGGTCTTTGTCCTTAATTTTGGATATGAGATCAGTCAACCTCCCTCCATACATATCATTAAACTCTTTAAACAACTCTGGGGGCAAGCTCTCAATAACACCCAGATAAAGATCACCCAATGACGGCAGCACTGCAACTGGATTTGAGCGAGATTCATGGTACGAAGGATTTGAACTTGTCGCTGAAGGTCCAACAGACTCAAGATAAGCTTGGCCTGCAACAAAATCAAAATGAGATGTTACACAATCTTCTAAACAAAAAGCATAAAAAGTCAAATATTTCATTTACTTTCAAAAGCAATGGTGATTAGCACTTAAAAATAAATCATCCATTTCATCTATAAGCAAGTAAACCTGAAATAATGAAAAAATAAAGATAGCTAATTTATGCTGCATCAGGAGGCTGGGAGCCATAGTTCTTTTTACATCCTGCAAAACAATCTTATTTTCTAGCAAAGTTATGCATCCTTTTAGAAGCTACTACATACCATATATGACAATTAATCAAATATACATACAGTTACGGCATTAGCATATATGACCAGTAAACAAACATATAAAAGCTGCTTATAGCATATATGCAATTCAAATCAAAGTGAGATTCTAGTCTTCTAGAAACTATCTGAATGAGTGTGTAGCTAGGTTACAATAGCTCTAGTCCTCAAACACACCCCTTTTCAGAGGTCATTGGGCCATATCACCCCCATGTCGCCAATACTGCGGTAATAACAAGTCAGGCCTTGAATCAAGGCCAGTCTTTGAGAGGGATAAATTGGTTATAGCCTAATAGGACTTGTGTCATAATTAGACTCAATCTTCACTTGGTTTTTAGACTTCTCACAGGCAGAGTGTTAATCCTAGTCTTCCAGAAACTAACAATGAGCTTATAGCTGTTAGCAATGTCTCTAGCCCCTAAGCACACCATTTTTCAAAGGTCATTGTGCCATATCACCCCATGTTGGCAGGAGTTACAAATCAGGCCAGGGACCTAGACCAGTATTTGAGAAGGGCGATAGCCCAACAGGACTAGTACTCCATCAATTAAAATCAATCTTCACACGGAAGCACTAACATAAGACAAGCGAGCAGCAGTATAGAGTATTGAGCAAATGAAATAAGCTCCCAAAAATATATGTAGTGTAAAACTGCAAAAGGCATGTATCACACATAGGTCCGGAGAAGATGGTGACAGAAAATATGCCTTCCAAGACCAACTAAGATTCTATGATGACATCTATATAACTAAAATGTAGCAAAAATGAAGGCATATCGAAAATTAAATACTAGGATGTCCTAAGCAGCCCTTTGTCCTTAATATGCAGAGCAAATACTTTCAATAGGAAGACCTGTAACTACAATCTCTGTTTGAAGATGGTATATCCACAATACCTGTATCACGCATGTTGCGGTGTTCTGTAGAGTTCGTTGTGCCAGATCCAAGCCACGACCTTAGAAAATTTCTTTCTTGCCCTTAAGATCGGATATGAAAAGGTGACAATAGATATTGTCAGAAACATCAAAGTGAAGAAGCAAAACCAGAAAATACACGACCATGTCAATGGCATGCAAATCGAAGACATACTTTGCTAGTTTTCTACTATAAGACATAGAAAACAAGCAGATGGAAATCAGAAATTAATAAAAAAATATAAAGGAAATTGTTGATAGAATAACAAGCCAACAAGGTGCTCAAACAGACTAGCACAAACCTTGTCTCATAGTATCATTACTCTCCAACTTGGTCACTTGTAATCCGATTCCTCGAATATCTTTGACATCTAGACAGATAAAACTGATAGTTTAACACTTAGGGAAAATCCAATAGATCTATCAATGACTAAGGCTGTGAAAATCTAAATAGAAACATTTGCTTAGCTCTACAATTCAAGACTCTGTATCCAGACTTTCCCAATCATCTCTTTCCCGTAGAAAAAGGCATCAGCGATGCCCAAGCTCTCACAAAAACAAAAAACAACAAAAAAGACATGTATAAAGACTTAAGAAGACAATAGCCCAACACTACAATGGCAGAAAGCTAGTGGCACCAAGGTCTGGCCACCCCAAAAAGAAACAATTAAAGGAATAGAAATGACTTCCAAACCTTATTGTTTACAGCATAATGCAGCCTTATCTCAATTTTATGAAAGAACCACAATTTTGCACACTTTATCTCTTGCTAGTAGCTACAATGTGCTTATATTACAAATTTTAACCTTTGGAAGTGACAAAAGTCACAATTTATCATGTACCCCCCATGCCACAGTAGACAAATTTAAATATGCGAAACTCATTATTAAATACTTCCGAGTAGTAGCCAATATTATTTAGTGGACTGAAAAGTTAAAGATCCCAGATACAAGCTGACCTATGTGAAATGATCCAAATAGCTGTATTGTTATCCTTTGAAGAATGTCAACATCATCAGTTGCAACAGGAACCTGTAACAGAATAGTAACTCTGGGATGACAAAAGAAAATGATCGTGAACAAAATGACAATTGTCAAAATTTAATCTACACATACTGTCGTAGAGTGACTAAGATTTTCACAAGCCCCATGACCCATGTATTTTGTTGGCTCCCCAGCATCTTTTCTACGCTTCTTAATCTGAAAATTATTATAGCAGACAAAAATAAAGATTGAAGCTTGAGTTAGCAGAGTTATCTAACACCATGAATAACAAACAAACAAGTATTTTACAGTCAACAAAACTTTCAATAACTCCAGACTCCAGAGCATGAATGTGAGAAGGAAAAAGAGTATAAATAAAGAAAAATCTAACACCAAAAAATAGACAACATATATAAATATATACATACATAGAAAAGAACATTGTTACATATGTAGAAAAGGGAACTGTTGTACCTTGAGCGTAAAGGTACGCCCTTGTAATCCACATCCCTGCAAGCGCAAAGAAACCTCCTTGCACAGACTAGAAAGGAAGTGTTCACTCTGTAAAGCATGTGAAAACATATCTCAGACATATTCAAGGGCAAAGAAAATTGGATATTTAGTCGCATAAAAAGCTGAGAACCGACATCTTTTATATCCTTGAAGCGCACACCCCAGTTTACATCAGCACCAATCGACTTGCTTTCCTACACAATGTGTTTATTAGTCAAAACAATTGCTCAATGGAAGCAATATCACAATTATACATCAAAAGGCCAGGTTCTTAAAAATACATTTGTTAAAACAGGCATAGACTAAGTTTTTAAAAAAGAATTTTAAACAGCATAAAGATAATTAAACAAGTTTTTAAAAATACATTATATGTTAGAATAGGCATATATAAGTTTGTCGAACAGCACAGGACACTATATGACAGAAATAAGTGGAGTCAATATTCGAGAAGGTTTAAGATCAAACACTACCTGGAGATTCACAACACAGATTTTGCTCAATGCATCTCTCCATCAAAAAAAAAAAGAAGATTAAAAATTACATTAACCTAATTCAAAACTGGGAACTAGGGAGTCATCCAAACAAGTGAATATGTATACAAGAATAATTAATGCTGAATTCAATCTTCCATAGACTTCTAGAAATGACTCACAATCTTGAAATATCAATTCAAAAGTTGCCCGTGTTAAATCTAGTCGTACACTTCGATGTCCAGATCCCTCCAAGTAAGGGTAATAAACACACCCTATCAATGCGCCACAGAAATTTCAACAGATAATCCCTAACATGTTTCTAGACAGCTTTTTGTACTCTTTGAAAAAATTTAAAATCCGAATGTACTATCAACTACCAAAGATTCCAAACTGGAAGTTAGCTAATGGCTAGCCATTCTACAAGATGTACTGGACCAAATAAATCCATCTCAAGCAAGTATGTAAGCACCTCAATACCACAAGAGCAATCACCAAAAAAATTTGGGCATACCAAAAATGTGCAACAGACATGTAACATATATTCTGCCGAACCTGAATGACTCCAACTAGCCGCTTATCAACACCTCTGCAGTAATTCCACAACATTTCACCAGTTTTTGTTCCAAAGTCCCTCTGTAAAGACTCCTGCAATTTGAGTATATCAAAACTTGTTAAGAAGTTCCATAAGAGCCAACCCCTTACTTAGATCATATAATCTCACATTTATCAGTTATAACACTTAGCATCCGAGAGGAACAAAGATACAGAGTGCCAATATTCCAATCAGAGTATTAAACAACATCATAGACAAGTTTAACACTAATGCTTTGCACAAAATATTAGACCTTAGAAAACATTCGCAATTGGCCACAGGTCTGAACTCCTTTATTTTTTAGCTTTTGCTCCAAGACATGTCCAATACCTGGAAGTGTCTTTATAGGGAGTTGTAACAGATACTCATCAACCTGCAAAACAATTTTAGTAGTCACCATTTCAGAGATGGAAAATCAACTGTAAAAAGGGAGCAATGGTTACAAGAGAGTAAATTATAAGAATGCACAAGACAACAATGAGAAAATTAAGCCAGCACTCAAACCCCTTGAGCTCAGATCAAACAAAAATCAATCATTTGATGACAGAAAGTTCACTGCAAGAGCAATTGTTCTGATAAAAAAATTTAAAAAATGAGCACAAGACTGCAAAGCGAAAACGGATCCAGCTTACAAAACCCTTACGCTGTGATTAATAACCAAAGCTGTATAAAGCTCAGCCAGGCTACAACACAGGTTATTGACTTAAATTAACACCTTGTAAAGTGTTCCTCAAATAATTTAGAGCAAGGAAATTACAACTTTGGTCCATAACACGCAGAAATGCAAATATATCATCATGATCAAGCAATTCCAAGTTTGAGCTCAATGAATCAGTCTTGACTTAGGCAAGACTGCAAGATGGAATTGATCTTTTCCCAAGGCTTTTTTACAGTCATGCAAATAATTGAATTCTTTTCCAAGAATCATTTACACTAAACATTAAGTAGTACCTTCTCTGGAGAAATGTAGCATTGACCGTCTGGTTTGGCAGTTCTAGTGGCAAGACGAGCCATAAGCATATTTGCAGCAATGCCTGCACTAGCCGTGCAACCTGTTGTTTCAAAGATCTCTTGTCTTATTTCGGAAACTAAAAGCTCCGGCTCTGCCACGTCTGAGTTAGTGATATCCAGAAATGCTTCATCACAACTTACTGCCTGCAGGTAAAACGGATCTGCTAAAGAATACTGACAGAGTGACAGCAAAGATTAAATTGTATAGAATATTGTAGCACATGCCTGCACTTTATCGCAGTGTTTGTGCAAGATGTTGTAGAATTGGTCAGCTACCTGCCACACAGCAAAAGTTTCATGAAGCTCTAAAGACTCGCAAATCAGGACTGCTCTAATACAAACTATTACCGGTTTTGGGGGTGGGGACGGTGGCAACTAATATGAGACTCGATGCTCTATAATACCTCTTCATAAGCTTCAAAGTTGTAAGGTATGATTTCTAGATGAGGACAACGAGCCTTCGCATCTCTAACAAACATTCCAGCTTTCACTCCTATTACAAGAAATACAAAACCATTTGAGTTTAAATTCTAAAAATTGTCCATTTAAATCATAATGCTAGATGCCATAAGGATTTAAAATCAACCATAGTCTCGAGCAGGATAATTAGCAGAAGAGATTTCAGCAGTTCCTCTAGCACTGTCTGAATGGCACACTGCTACAGGCTTGTCCATCAAATCTGGACGGTTCCTGATAACAACAGCCACAAAAAAGCAGTCCTGCAATGAAATATATATCAAGAGGGTCAATAGATAGTGGGAAAAAGGGGAATTGGGTCTTTGGGTAAGGGAGACACATTTTTTTCTTAAGACTTTAAGAGTGTGGCATTGAAAGGACTGCTACAAGACTACGAATTGGAGAAAAAGTTCCAACAGAGAAGACTTCAGTCCTCAAGTACCATGTCCATATGGATGATCATAGTTTTCTGAGAAGTAGAAGCAGCATTAACATCAAAGCTTTTTTGCTTAGTTTTATTGGAAAGGCAGGCAAATCGCTTACGGTACCGGTTCCTCCAAGTTCCAATGAAATGCAACCTTGAACTCTGCCCAGCCACAAACAAAAATAAAAAAATTGAAAAAACATACAAGCTGTGCATGAAAGTTTATAATCAACATGAAAACAAAAAAATAACAATAGCTTGTCCAATCAAGATTGAGACTTTGGGCGAAAGCAGGGAAAGATGGGGGGGGGGGGGGGAGGGGGGGGACCATGCTTGCAGGGAAATACTTATGTGGTTCTTTTTAAATCACAACATATTCCTTTCTAAGATTCTCTATGTCTCTCTCATCATCACATGGGTTCCCCTTTTTATTTCTCTCACCTCTAAAAATACCATGCACCCCCTCCACATTGCAACTAACAGAGAGCGGAGGAAGTATATATTATAAAATCATTGATGTAGAGTGGGAGAACAAGACATTGAGGATCAACCTAGAGAAAGCAAAATTGTTTTAATGCAATTTGACTAAACTAAACAATTTTTAAAAAAAAACAAAAACAAAAATTTGAAAGCATAATAACCTCATGCAATACAGAAAAATACAGCAGCTAAACTAATGAATGACAATAAATTCATATGCGACCCATAACTAATGCACCTAAAGCTATGCTACGCATATTCATTCATGCCTGCAATAAGGATGGGGACAACCTGGAACACAAGATGAACAACATCACTTCAATGACTCTTAAAGGCTCTCACACTAGGCAGGGTAAGGCGGTCAGATGTATGTATATATCAAATATTTTGAAGACCCATTTTTCCATGATCGATGACACAAATGCTCACTCAACTCCCAAGGAACTAACACATTTGAACATGTGCATTACAGGTTGGCCTAGTCGTGATATAAAGCAAAGTAATATAGATAATCAAGGTCTTGAAAAACACTACATGCTTTTCGCCAGTGAAATTATTCTATTTCACGATTCAGCAACAAATCTTTAGAAACAAACTTAGCCATACACAACCATCCAGTTACTAAACCCGAAAGGGCCGAAGAAGCAGAGAAAAGTTATGAAAGAGAATAGGTAAACATGTAGAGTTTTCACACCTTAAAATAGTTTTCAACAAAATTCGGGTCCTCAAGGGTTGAATGACGGCGGCAGGAAGGTCCCCCAGCCAGTGAACCAGATGATTCCCCACTAGGCTTTTCATATGAGTCATGATGACTGGTGGGACTAATATCGACTTTGTCTTTAGAGGTGACTGACTTCTCTGGTTGGGAGAATTCATCTTCTTCAATAAATTGCTCTGAATCAGCTGTACCAGTTTTCTTACATCCATCGTCTTCTATCTCCTTGTCACTTTGCCTAGAACATTCAGACAACTCATCCAAATCAGAAGAGGCATGATCAAGCACAACATCATCCTTCACTTCTGAAGCTTCAGCATCTGCTTCAGCTTGCAGCATACAAGCTGAATCAGACAGAACACCTTGATTGACTGGATTTCGTTTCAAAGCAAAGAAAGAAGACAGCTTTGGTTGATTGCTTCCTTCATTGGCCAGCTGAATGAGTTGATATGGAACCCCTACATAAAAAATTAAATAAAAAATAAAAATAAAAACTGAACAAAGTCAGGAGAATACACAGGCATACAGCACAATTACTGCTTGACAAGATCATTACCAAAACAGAAAAGTAACTTCTACTTAGATTTTGGGAAGCTAGACCGGAAGAAAGGGTAAAGTGAACCTGGCATCCCCTACATTATCCCAGAACCAGATTCTTAAGAAGAATAGAGTCAAAAATTTTAAGCCATTCAATTTTTCTCCTTCGCATGTAAAAATTCTTATTTCCAGCCATAAAATCTGGATGCACCAGTATCCAGCTGCCTTTAAATTCCTGCAAAGAATTAATTGCCAAATTTGGAAAACGGAAAAACAAAAGTTCAATACTCTTCTTACTAATATGCTGCAGTAAACCTTTTCCATAGATTCTTCCTACAAATTCTCTTTACTAGATTCAGAAGTGAAAGGTTATGTATTGAAGAAAGGTGTACAGTATCTCAAAAGAACTTACAACTGTAAAACATAAGTTAATATATCAAATGCTCTCTCTGCAAATTACCCCCTCTTTCCCATTTTAAAATGTTTTCCTTGGTTTTTATTTAAGAAAAAAAAAAAAAAAACTGAAAAAAAAAAATGTACACCTATCACTCTGATGCTAGCACATCTTTGATGCACCAATCCTCTCAACATATTTGTCATATTCCCTTAATACAGAGTATGTGCATAGAGTCTATACTCTATACAAAAATTGGAACTGCATCAATAGGCCATACCTAAATGTGGGTCTTGCCAGAAGGCTCTATTTATGTAAGCTACATACTCCAATGTTTTAGTCACTTGTTCCTTTAGCTAATACAGGCTGCTAATTCTGTTGTCTTTTAATTTTATTTTATTTTTTAAATTCCTATTCTACTAATTCGTTAAGGGAATCTAGAGAGTTGAGTGAACATCCAGGTGGTTTGACATAAACACCAAAGCCAACTAGGCAAGAAAAGAATAATACACCCTCCCTCCGTCACTAAAAGTTCTTCCTGTTTGGACAATGACAGTCGTGCAAAAAGTCAAAAGGATGCACTCTATAATAAATACGGAGTAGTTAGGATGAGCAAATAAAGGACTCACAGTTCAACAATTTCCCAGCTGCCACACAATCCAACACCCAAGTGGGTTTCACAACAGGCAGTCCACCACTGAAAGATCTACACCAATTATACAACGAATCAAACCACATTCCAATACAACCCTAAACCAGAAGGTACTCTACTATCACTAAAAGAAAGAATAATTGACAAGAGAAGAAAAAAAAACCTGAGGTTTTTAATTTTACTATCAGGTAGGTTACTGCAAATTATATGAGTGACACGATGCCTTGAAAAGTAATTCTCAAATCGTCCACCGTGCTTCAACATGTATGCTCGAAGCTCCTATAAGGTTTGATTATCAATGTTTATCATGATCAGGACAGTTAATCGATCCAAGAACCAACTACGAGAAGAATTTGGAGGCTAGTTTATAACAAAACCTGGCTAGAGGGAATAGTAAATCCATCAACAAAAATCGAAACACCCTGAAATATGGGTTTTACAGAATCTGAACCACTGTAAGAAGAATTTGAGGCTTCTGCATCAAACTGATCATGTAGTTTCTTATTCTTCACAGCCATATAACTGCACAACACATTAAAACTCAATTTCGTCACCGTTAAATTAAGCTTCCAATTCAGTTACCCTAAAAATTAAACAAGTACCAAAATTCTCCACAAGTAGTGAAGCAACTGCAATTTATATTCAAGACATCCCAAATTGTGTCAAAATTGACCAATTGATTGCAATCAACCACAAAAACTCGTGCAAAGTGAAATTAAACTCAAATTAAACAATCTGAGCACGTAACCTACATCAAATTTTGAAATCATCCACAAAAACTCGTGCAAAGTGAAATTAAACTCAAATTAAACAATATGAGCACCTAACCTAGATCAAATTAAGCGATTTTGAGCGAAATTTGAAGTGAAATTCAAGAAATTAAACAGAAAAAAAGAAGAGATACCTGCCAAAATCGGAAAATGGGGCACTACGAAAGGAAGATCGAGAAGAGGAGAGAGAATTAGCTCCCCAAGCAACGCCTAGGGTTTTCTGATTAGTCTTCTTCTTCTTATTGTTAGTGTTATTAGAAGAATTTGAATTGAAGCTTCTTTTGGAATTCGAATTGGAATTTCCAGAACGAGTTGAATCGTAGCTCATTTTCGACGCAAATTGTGTTACAAAAAGCGCGGGAATCAGATGAAGGTTTGAAGAAGAATGAAAGGGAAAACAACAAACTTGCAATAGAAGTTTAAGATGAGAGAGGAAGAAAAAATTCTTTTTTTTTGAAAGGGAAAGTTATAAGCATTTGTAGTAATTTTTTTTTTGAAAGGGGAAAATTAAATGTCTATTTCTATTTATAGATTATTTTATGTTAAAAGATGACTTTCTAATTATGGGATGGTAATGTATGTTTGTATGAATAGAAGAGAGCAAAAGAACATATAAAGAATCGGTTGCTATTTTCTTCTTCTTACCTACATAGTTCACAAGATTGTGAACATATTTATAGGCAAACATTGCCATCAAAATACTAAACATGATTGTACCTTTAGACAAAGTATTGTCCATAATAAATGCATGTCATGAGCTACAAGTTATGTGAACTTCATATTGGCTCTTTCTCAACACTCCCCCTTGAAATTCGCATAAAATGGGGTATGGGTTGCCTTAAAGAAAAATATTATATGCTTTGATATACTGTCTCGTTAAAAACCTTGTCAGGAAAAACCCAGTGGGATAAAAACCTGATCGAAGGGAAAAAGAGTGCAGTGCATATAATACTCCCCCTGATTTCAACATAGTTCACGAAGATGACGCATTCCAATTTTGTGAACTAATTGCTCAAATTTCTTAGAAGGCAGTGATTTGGTGAACAGATCGGCAAGGTTGTCACAAGACTGAATTTGCTGGATATCTATTTCCTCATCCTTTTGTAGATCATGTGTGATGAATAGTTTTGGGGATATATGTTTTATTCTATCTCCCTTAATATATCCTTCAGTTACTTGAGCGATGCATGTTGTATTGTCTTCAAATATGGTGGTTGGATTTTCTGTTATTGCTTTCATTCCACACTCCTTTTGGATAATACTAATCATCGACCTCAGCCATACACATTCTCGTCCTGCTTCATAAAGGGCTATCAACTCTGTATGATTTGAGGATGTCGCGGTCAATGTCTGTTTTGTTGATTTCCATGATATTGTTGTGCCGCCATAAGTGAACAAATATCCATTTTGTGACTTGGCATTTTGAGGATCCGATAAGTATCCAGCGTCTGCAAACCCAATGAGAGCAACATCTTGTTTCGGTTCATAATATAAACCAAGGTCTTGTGTCCCTCGTAGGTACCGGAGTAAGTGTCGAACTCCTTTCCAATGTCTGTATGTCGGTGCATTCCTGTACCTGGCTAACAAGTTCACAGAGAAAGCTATGTCGGGTCTAGTGTTGTTAGTTAAGTACATTAAGGCTCCAATTGCACTTAAGTATGGTTCTTCTGGACCCAGAATTTCTTCATTTTCTTCTCGGGGCCTGAATGGATCGTTTTTCATATTCAAAGAACGAACAACCATTGGGAAGTTGATTAGGGTTGCTTTGTCCATGAAAAATCTTTTCAAAACTCTTTCTGTATAGTTTGATTGATGGACAAACCATGACTCAAATGCTCAATTTGCAATCCGAGGAAAAATTTAGTTTTTCCAAAGTCTTTCATCTCAAATTCTTTCATCAAGTATTTTACAGTTTTCTCAAGTTTATTTGGGGTTCCAATGATATTCAAATCATCAACATAAACTGCAATAATAGCGAATCCTGATTGTGATCGCTTTAGAAAACACAAGGACTAATTTGGTTGTTCTTGAACCCTTCTCTCATAAGGTATTCACTGAGACGGTTATACCTCATCCTTCCAGATTGCTTCAATCCATAAAGTGCCCTTTTTAGTTTTATGGAAAGTAACTGTCTAGGTTTGCGGTTTTCTGGTAGTTTTAGTCCTTCAGGGACTTTCATGTAAATGTCTGTATTGAGTGACCCATACAAATACGCAGTCACTACATCCATTAATCGCATTTGCAGTCCTTTTGTGACTGTCAAACTTACCAGAAATCTTAATGTAGTTGCATCAACTACTGGAGAATATGTTTCTTTATAATCGATCCCTGGAATTTGAGAAAATCCTTGGGCTACAAGTCTTGCCTTGTATCTAACTATCTCATTTTTCTCATTACGTTTTCTCACAAATACCCATTTGTATCCAACGGGTTTTACACCCGCTGGTGTAAGGGTTATTTTTCCAAAAACTTCTCGTTTTTCAAGTGACTTCAACTCAGCCAGCATTGCCTCCTCCCACTTTGTCCAATCACTCTTGTATCGGCATTCTTCCACTGTTCTTGGTTCAACATCATTTTCTTCGGACACAATGTCGATTGTGATGGAATTTGCAAATATTTCATCCACGATAACATCTTTCCTATTCCAATGAGTCTTGGAGAAACGTAATTCATTGAAATTTCATTGTTATCGATGTTTTGAACATCTTGTTCATTCCCCGTATGGTTGTCTTCTTGTTCGTCCCCTTTTGAATTATCATCATTTTCTTTACTTTCATTCACATTTGGTCTTTCTTGACCTTCTGACGAGGAAACATCATTAGTCTCATTTTCTATTCCATCCAATCTTTTCAACTTCTTTGGTTTAGAATCTTTTGAACCAAGTGGTCTCCCACGCTTTCTGCGTGCTTGGGATTCATTCTCAATGGCCTTATTATCAGTTGGGATTTCAATACGTGCAGGGGCATTTTCTGCTGGTATATGTGATTTTGTCACCTTCTTTGTGTCTACAAATGCATCAGGCAATTGATTTGCAACACTTTGTAAATGAACAATTTTCTTGACTTCTTGTTCACACATATTTGTTCGTGGGTCTAACATTAACAGTTGTGTTGCATTCCAAATAAGTTCTATTTCTTTCTTGCGTGAGTCCACTTTCTCTCCCCCTAAGGCTGGGAATACTGCTTCATTAAAGCGACAGTCGGCAAATCTAGCCGTAAATAAGTCATCGGTCAATGGTTCAAGATATTTAATTATAGAGGGGGATTCAAACCCAACATAAATTCCCAGCCTTCTTTGTGGACCCATTTTTGTTCGTTGGGGTGGAGCAATGGGAATATATACAGCACAACCAAAGATTTTTAGATGTGAGATACTTGGTTCTCGACCACAAACAAGTTGTAGTGGTGAGAATTTATGATAAGCTGTAAGTCTCAATCTAATTAGTGCTGCTGCATGTATTATAGCATGTCCCCAAGCAGATGATGGCAATTTCGACCTCATTAATAATGGTCTTGCAATCAATTGCAATCTCTTAATTAGTGATTCAGCTAGACCATTTTGTGTGTGAACATGAGCTACTGGGTGTTCAACATCAATTCCGATTGACATACAATAATCGTTAAATGTTTGGGATATAAATTCCCCAGCATTGTCGAGTCTTATTTTCTTTATTGTATGATCTGGGAATTGTGCTCTTAATTTAATAATTTGGGCAAGTAATTTTGCAAAGGCAACATTTCTACTTGAAAGCAGACTAACATGTGACCATCGTGTAGAAGCATCAATTAAAACCATGAAATATCGAAATGGTCCACATGCCGGATTAATTGGCCCGCAAATATCTCCCTGAATTCTTTCCAAGAATTTTGGAGATTAATTGCAATTTTGTTCATGGATGGTCTTATTATTAATTTGCCAAGTGAACATGCAGAGCATGTCAACTCATTCGATCGAGGAATTTTGACATTTCTTATTGAATGTCCAATTGAATTCGCTATTATTCTTTGCATCATCCCAGTTGTTGGATGTCCCAACCGATCATGCCACAAAATAATCAAATGTTTGTCATCTAACTTCTGGTTAGATACCATATTGATTTCCACAGGTCGTATGTTTATACGATATAGTCCCTAAGAATATGCTGGCAATTTCTCATAAATGTGTTTCTTGC